ATCCGAATTGTAGGTCCTTGTCCTCTAGCATGATCTGCATGGCTGCGAGCTCGTCGTCTGCGCTGACGTCTCCCACTGGCTGAGACTCTGCCGTTGGCACTGATAACGGTGGTCCTGGATATACTCCTCCAGGACAAGTAAAAATGGATGCTGCTGCTGCGTCCAATCGCCTGCGGCTCTCTTTTAACTCCAAACTCGCCGTAGCGCAGCTAGGAGCCGGCGTTAGTGAGCTCGACGATGCTGCCGCCGCAGGCCCCAACGTCGTTGGTGCTTGTATTGGTGGTAGCAGCTGCGATGGAGGTAATGGTGACTGCCTCTGCGTGGTTGGTGGAGTCGTTGACTGTACTGGTGATACCATAGGCTGAGGTGGGGGTGACGATGGTATTGGTTCTTGATCTGGTCATCCTTCGCTTGGCTGTCTTTCTTGTCGAGGTGTGCAGGGGACGTCCATCTGCTCGTCCTCTGCAGTGCTGGGCATGCCTGGACTGGGGGCGGATGGTGATGCCATCTCCGTTGTGATCGAAGCTGCTACTCCAGTAAACGGTGTTCCCCTCCTGGTCCATCGTCGTCGCTGATGTCCATGTCCTAGTGGCCTGGTGCCTCGAACGGTTGCTGCTGTGCGCGGACATTGTGGAACTGCGCGACTCCGGGCCTCCTCATGGCGCCGAGCGCCCCCTTGGCCTTCGCGAGGCTCTCCAAGAGAACACATCCTTGATCGCTAACATCTGGTCGAACGTGTTCTGGGGCACAGCGTTGTCGGTTCTTGCCGTGCACGAGCCAGTGGATCCTCGGTCCGCTCGTCCTGCCTCATCCTCTTGAAGACCACGATTGCGGGTTCCTTCCACTTGTTCATGATGAGCCCGTTGGTCTTGCCCTCTTTCCAGCGATAGAACCGCTGCCCGATCGCAAGATCGCGCTTGAGGGCAACATGGCGTCGTAGAAGTGCACGTCGCAGTTTGGCCGAGGCATCCGCCTTCATAAGCGCTCATGCCGCCATTTACCTTCGCCCAAGTACATTCTCGAAGTCCTCATCATCCTTCATCTGGCACAGGGTCGCTTGCGAGAACTTGTCGCTGGAGTTGGTCATGGTAGCAGTCGGATCCATTCCCAAAGACCACTGGCATGGAGAAAAGTCCCTTGTGACATCCAACCGGTCGACCTGCAGATGCGGCGCAGATTTACAAGCCTCCGTGAGCAAATCCTCCGCGATAGCCGCCCTGATCTGAAAAAAACCTGAACCACCGTCTGTCCGCAATTCTTCCATGGGTCCAAATTGCCTAATCCAGCCGCGCTCAGCTGCCTTGATCAGCTCCTCTGCCGTCTCGGTCTTGATTGTGCGTAGTGCACAGTAGCGCGTGGCCCCGTCCATCATCGAAAGAACTGCCGTCTTACCGGTACCATCTTGATCCAGAAAGCGTCCGTATAGACGATCACGTTGAACTTGGTGGTCTGCTTCGCTGACGCATCCGGTGCTTTTGGCGGACTTCGTCTGGCCATGCAGTGGTCACGCCGATGCCCCGATGCACGCTGTAGGATGTTGTGCTGGGCGCCTGCCTGTTGAAGTAGGCGATTTAGTTATGCTGGGCTGTGGTGCCCTATGTTCCGGCGAAGTCTCTTGGCGTAGCGTAGTGCCTTCGTGTGCGTGCTGATGACCGTCGCGAATGAATCCGAGTGCTCGGGTTTAGTGCCCTCCTCCGATTGCGTAGAGTCCTGCGCTGCGTAGATGTCCTCGATCTCTAGCTCGACCATGACTTGCGAAATCGTCGCTGCTAAAATGAACGGGTCGTCCTCGGCGGGCGCGGTGAACTCTCGCCCCTCCAGTAGGTCGCGTCCATGTGATCGGTCGCATCGCTCGCTGAGTACCGCTGCCATGAGCTTCTTGGGCGTCCTAAGTGTCGTCGGCTTCTTGACCATGTCCGCGTTGCCCGCAATCGCATGGCCGCACATGCAATGGTCGAGCGTGCTGCGTTCGCCGCGTAGGCGGCTGAACGCCACGGCGTGCCACGCCCTCGACGTAGCTGGATGTCCGATGTGAGCATTTCACCCACCATACTGCTGTATGCGATATACCTTGGCCACAAAGTGTAGGTGCACTCAAGGATGCCACTCTCGTAGGTCGGCGAGGTGCCCCCTCCTTCCAACAGGATCGCCGGTGGATGTTGAGCTCCTGCGCGTTGGACCAGGGTCCGCACATTGGTGACAGGTGGACCTCGTCAGGCCGCTCCTCCGTTAGCTCCTTGAGGCATGCCTTCTGATGATCCCCCGTGCGAAACCAACGGGCATTGTGCCCAAACGTCTCCACGCGCGCTCCTAGATCTCGCAGGGCTTGCGAAAGTCTGGCTCCTCAAGCGTAGACTTCCCATATCGTCCGTCCCGTACTGCACCATTGGTGAGCTAACCTTCTCATGCTCTGTTGGTGCTGCTTGCTGGCATGCTTCGCGGCTGGGTCGATCTGCCGAACGAAATTGGTCGACATCTGCCTGACGCCGTCATCGGGGTCGTCGTCGGTGCTGAAGTTGACTTCGCCCGTCGTAGGTGAAAGTAGGCACCTGCGTGGCTCCGATAGCGCGGTGTCGACTGGCTCAAGGGCTGTCGTAGTAAGGCACAGGTTGCCACGTGAGGAATGCTGCTGACACTGCCACTGCTTCACGTGGGCTTTGCAGCAGCTTACTTGTACTACGCGTCGGGGACAGCCTTCGGCGTGAGGTCGCCGTTCTGGTTGCTCCTGCCCCTCGCGGTTCCAGCTGGAGTCCGCCAGGCAGGCTTCGTCCAGAAACTCTACGCCGCTCATGGCCTGGTTGCTGGGGTCCAGGAACGGCGCTGCATCGACGGGCTCGTCCTCGAAGTCTCTCGCGTGGGGACTCGTCTCCCCGTCTAACTCCTCCAGTAGGTCCACCGTGTAGCGCCCTTCAGGCGATTGCGTCGCAGCCTCGAGCCCGCCGCCTCTCCACGCAACTGTCTGCTCGGCGTAATCGACCTGAACTCCGAACACTTCCAGCAACGGCCTCGGACACATGATGGACGTACGTCCCAATACCACGCATATCTAGAGCGCGCCTGACTTCTGCTTGAAACTGGCAAGCATTGTGCCGCACCGCTGCGCATGCTCGATCTTGCCGTTGCCGAACCGGAAAGGCCGCCGGCACTTGTAGGACATGGGGTCCCCGGAGGGATAGCCCTTCTGTCGGCAGTCCCTCGCGTAGTTCTTGATCGTCTCTGAGCCGGACACGAGGGTCGTCGCCCCGCAGTCCATGACTCCACTGCTTGCTAGCATTGCGCTGGCGTTGGCCTTGCTATGACCCTTGTCGCCCCAGTCGACCTTAGCAACCATCAAGCTGTCGTCGGTGTGGACACACTTCTTGTCGGGTGGCTCAGTGCAGCCCCTAGCCCAGTGGCCGGGCTTGCCGCGTCGCGGGCAGTTTGCCGATGGTGTTGATGTTGGCACTGGCCTCGTAGCTGCCATTGCCCTTCCCATTGAGTCCGCGGCCGTAGGTCGTGGTCTGGGGACGTCGCAAAGTGTCCAAATCTGTGTGGCCGCCGCTTGTGTTCAGACCAGGGGGTTGGGGGTGGAAACGACCAAAAATGACTGCTGGAACCACTGGTGCCAGCGGGCTGGAAATCGCAGGAAACACATAGGACCATCAACGAAATCGAACGAAAACGAATCAAAAGAGGAGGAGGAGGAGGGGGAGGACGAGGAGGAGGAGGAGGAGGAGGAGGACGAGGGCGAGGAGGAGGAGGATGAGGATCAGGAGGAGGAGGAAGAGGAGGAGGAGGATCAGGAGGAGGAGGAGGAGGAGGAGGAGGACAAGGGAGGAGGAGGAGGAGGAGGAGAACGAGGAGGAGGAGGAGGAGGAGAGGAGGAAGAGAACGGCGGCAGCAGGCATGGTGAGACAAGGAATACCACAAGGAACGCATCATATGGAACGAATGTGATTATCTGCTTCTCTGGCCACGGGGGGCCTAGGCCACCACGAACTGGTCCCACTATATAAATGTAAAGAATGGTCCGAAAACCAGACCCAGCCCGAAGCAGTCCTTAGGTCAGCGTCTTGACTGACTGATCAAGTCGAGGCCGCCGCCGCCGAGGGCCGTCGAGCCGAAGCCGATCGACCGCGCCGCCGGCCGGCCGACATCCTCCTCCTCCTCCTCCTCCTCCTCCTCCTCCTCCTCAGTCCTCCTCCTCCTCCTCCTCCTCCCTCCTCCTCCTCATCCCCCCTACTCCTGCTACGTTTCCTCCATCTACTTCCCCTACCTCGCCATACAAAATATCATCCTCCTTCCCCTCCTGATCGTTCTCCTCCTCCTCCTTCTCCTCCTCCTCCTCCTCGTCCTCCTCTTCCTCCTCCTCCTCCTCCTCCTCCCCCCCCCCCACTCGCCGCCCATGGCGGCGGCGGCGGCCGCGGCGGCGGCAGCGGGGGCCAGGAGCTCCGCGCCCTGTCTGCACCCTTCCTCCATCTTCCTCCGGGGCGCCTTTATCTTTATTGTGTCCTCCTATCGTGCCGGGTGCCGCAGGGGCCGGTCGCGAGTCGCGAGGGGCAGTCCAGTCCACTCCCACGAACGGAACAGCCCACGAGCTACTACGTAGTTACTACGACTACGACTACTACCTACACGAATGCCTGTCACACAGCAGGCGCGCAGCACGGTCGGCAAGCCGACCTGTAGACACCCACAGTAGCCGCGTCGTTGCCTGGAAACATCAGGCCCCTGCCGCACATTAGAGGCGGTCGCACAAAATACAAAATCAAAACGAAGCAAATAATTCTCCAGCCTCGCCCTGGGCTGAGAGAGAACAGCTGCTGCTACGGGCGCTGGGCAATTGCTCGCAGACGGCCGAACGCCATCCCGAACCTTGCCACGCCGCGGGCCGCGACGAGGTCAGCCGGGCTAGTCGGGGAGGCCGGGGAGGAGGAGGGGGGGCATGAATTTCACATTGGTGGTTTTCTGTTTTCTTCTTGGAGCCCTTGGAGGTTGAGAAGAGGAAAACCGAGCAACACCTAGGACAAGATGTGCTTCGATGTGTGTTTCGAGGTCGTCGTCTTCGCCACTTTTGCCGGCTGCCCCTGGCGGAGAGACGCCTCGTGCGGAAATTCTGGCCTGGTCATCTCAACTAGCTTGACTCCTCCAGGGGCCTCGGCCAGCTCGTGCACACTCAGGGCGTCGCCCCTAGGAAACGCCGGATCGATCGTGAACGTCGGGACCCCGATGTCGAGGGTCGTGCCGTCGTGGGAGACCGTAACCCGAGTGGCGCCCTGACGCAGCACTGCCGGCAACGACGGCGGCTCCTGGTCGCCTTTCTTGGTCTTCCTCCGGCGCTCCTGGGGTCGGGGCAGTACGCAGTCAAGCAGCATAGTAAGGATGCGCGGCAAGGATGCAAGGGCCTTGGAGGGCTGGGAGGGCCACGTCATCAACGTTTGTTCGAACCAGGTTTGCCAGCGAGAATTTCGAGACACGGGTGCAAGGGTAGCCGTGACAAGTGGCGCATCCTTACTATGCGGGCTGACTGTATCTCTCTTCCCCTCCGGCCCCGCCCTCCCTCCCAGCTCAACCTCCTGACCTTGTCAGCCCTGGGGAGTCCTGAGGGGGCGGGGATAAGGGCCCCGTCGCACCGCTGCGTTGCCTCCAAGGCGGGCGGAGGCGAAGAGAGATACGCAAAAACGGGCAGGAGGACAGGGGGGGGAGGGGGAAGCGGAGAAGGAAGAGGAGGAGGAGGAGGAGGAGGAGGAGGAGGAGGAGGAGGAGGAGAAGGGCCCCCAAGAACAACCTCGAAGTTTTTCTTCATCTTACCTTAGGAGGAGGAGAAGGTGATGATGATGATGATGATGATGATGATGATGATGAAGCGCCTTGAAAGGTCGGTCCTCCCAAAACACAAACCTGAGAAGCCACCAATACGCCAAGTGCGTACGGCAGAGAAAGAGGGAAAAGGGAGGAGAGGCAGGAGAGGAAAGAAGCGGAGAAAAGGTAAAGCCCAACCCAGGATTGAAACCCATGATACTGAAAGAAATCATGAATGACAGACTGTCCAATATCCCAAATGAATCCCACCACTAGGTCCCTCTTGTGTTGAATGAAGATGAGAAACATAATGAAAGAGGTGCCCAAATTTGACGAACAAGATCTTGAGTGACAATTGGGACCCAACCTTGGAAACACATGGTCCCAAGGTCTAAAGTAAGTATGAGGTGAAGAAAACTTCCATTAAATCCCATGAAACCCATGAAACCCATGAAACCCATTGAACATGAGTAGTGGTCAAGGCTGATATATATATATATATATGACTGAAAGAGAATCTGAAAGATAAAATTGAATGTCCCAAGCACGCAATGAACCCAGAAGATACGGAGGCACACAAAGATGAACTGTCAAGGCAGAATGAGATCCCAACCGTGAGAACCCACACCATGCATGTCGAGGAATATGGAATATGGGTGAATTCGAACGAATATGGAGAACGCAAGTTGGCTGGAAATGTTTATAACCTTTTGTATTTGCAAACCAACAACGTAGAAATACATGCAAGAGAGATTGAGAGAGACTGAGAGTCCTCCAAAGCCGCAGGCCCACGCACCGCTGACAACAGAAGATTCCAGTCTGAGGGAGTCCCAGGAATGCTCTTCAGCCGTACCTCCAACGCCACTTTTCCACGAAGAAATCTCCATCCCACCAGTAATCGGACAAGTACCACACAACTGGGTGAGGCCAGCCCGAATCGGGATCGATCCACGTGTCAAAGTACTCCGTATTCCATACTTTGGTGTAGACTTCGTCTACTTCGCAGTAGTTCCACATTCCGCCCGAGCCGCGTGTCCACTTGAGACGCTTCTTGGCGGCAAGCTTGACTGGGGGGCTGCGTTTAGCCATCCCCTGGAGTTGGAGGTTTCCCAGCCGTCTCAGACAAGAGCTCCAGTAAGGATTTGAGGCGAAACGGCTACTGACCCGCAACAAATTCTGTCCAAGGAACTCTACGAACCCTTTCATCGGGACCCCGAACGTTGACATACAGACCATGATAGCCGCTGTCCCGACAAGCTTTGAAGAACGGGATTTTGCACCAGTCATATGTGAAATGAGGACCACCAAGGCCCGACGGATAAGAAACCGAGCCGGCAACTTGACCACCCTTTGGAATAGTAGCGGGGAGCAGTATGAAAGTGCCTCAAGATCTCGTTTAGACAGGAAGCAGACTTTGCGTTTAGACCTGCAAAGCTTCCCCTGAAAGATAACGTAAGGATCCGAAGCCGTGGGATGTAGCATACCGAAAGCTTGAGCCCGAGACTGCAGGAGCCGACAGGAGGCATGGGGAGGGAAGGGGCCCATCCCCCCAAACCCAAGGGAGGAAAACAGACGCCGAGGCCCAAAGACTCAGAGGCATCCTGAGGAAGGAAGGATTGTTGCGAAGCCACGGTATCCCTAAGATCGAATGGATCGAGCGGGTCCCAGATAGAATCGCACAAGTGACATCTCCTGGTGTCAGCCAATCCACTAGGTGGTAGGCAAAGGAAGAGAGAGGAGATCCCAAAGGGGTCTCGATTCAGACCCAAATGCAAATTCCGCGAGGCGTCAAATGCCCCGGCTCCACTAGTATTGGAGCCTGTTCTCTGAGGCCGCAATTAGGTAGGATACCCAGACCTCTGAAGATTCCGTAACATTAAATTTGTGCACTTGCATTCCGTGAAACATTGCCACGGCAAACTTCCGAGTGTGGGGTGCACATGGGCCACGAAAAAGGCGACGGTCTTTCCCGGTCCTAGCAAAAGACCCATGTTGATCGACAAACGTCAAAATTGACCGAATGGAGCAGATGATGGGAGATATCCCCTGAATTATGTTCCAGAACCGATCTGGGTCAACATACCCCGCTCCCAACCCAAGCTCCATCAAATCTCCAATAAGCTCTAGCCATCGAGAAGTGTCGGGTTCCCTATTCCACCGCTCGCGGACCATCCTCTGTACATCGGTGACACGACCAGCGACTGAGCGAAGCTCCTCCATGGATTTGGACGAGGCCCTGGTAGGTTGTCGTCTTTGAAGATACCTGGCCATTTGACCCCAAATATTCCACCAGACTGTGTAAATGAAATTCCCAGGGTCCGACCAGCGATTGTCGTAGAACACTGCGCCTTTGTATGACATTGTCTTGATCTGTACAAAAGACATAGAGCGCACTGCGATTCCCACGATCCCAATAAGGTTCTTGCATGCCTCACTTGAGAAGAATTCCTCAAAGAGATTCCATAGCTGCCTGAGAGGTATCTCGAATTCGCGCCCCTTCTCATACATGTGGAGTGTGACGCATTTCCGTGGGTTGTATGAACCTGAATTTACAGGAACGATCTCGGAACTTTCAATTGCCAGTGCACGTGGGCAGGCGGATGCCCATGCCTCGAAGACACAACACTGGAGGGACTTTGAATTCCATGGCCTGACGACCCTCTGAGGGGCAAGCATGAGAGTGTGTTCCCAGATAACTTGGGAAGGGGGAGGAGGAGGAGGAAGACGAGGAGGAGGAGGAAGACGAGGAGGAGGGTGGGGCAGAGCATGAGGCAGGAGGGAGAGAGGAGCCGGCGTCCACGGCGCCGATCCGCAGTCCTGACCAGTGACCAGGACCTTCGCGTTCCAGGCCGGGGCGAAGGTGGCGGAGTCGGCGTTGACCATGCCTCGGGCCAGAGGGCAGCGAGAAGGATGCATCGAAAAACGATGGGGAGAGGGGGGGGAGAGGGGAGGAGGGGGTGGTGGCAAGCTAGGTGCGCTCGCGTCATATCTGACGTCCTACCCGGGAGTCCTACCCCTCCCTCCGGAGCTCCCCTCCCATGTGGAGAAGGGGGGGGAGGAGTTGGAGTTGGATTTGGAGTTGGAGGTGGAATCACACGGCTGAATCCGACCAACGTTGGCACTGATACGACCCCAAACCTAGCAACTTACATCTCACAGGACGCGACGGGAAGGTGGGATGAGGGTGAGAAGATGATGATGAGGATGAGGAGAGTCGGAGAAGGAGTGAGATGAGGATTAGGAGTAGAGAGAGGCACGCCTGTGGTCGGAGAAATGCTGACGTAGAACTTCGTGCCCATCAGCATCACGTCGCCCACGGGAACAGCAGCCCTCGGAAGCTCGCTCGTCGGGCTGATGAGGACCCTGCCAATCATGTGGCACGCGAAGTGCGCGGCATCAGGGTGGTTGACGTCGATGAAGAGCCTGAACTTGCCAGTGCCCGCAACGGGCTTCCTGAACCACAAGCACCGGCCCGCGCGGTCGACGCACGAGTCGTGGGTCGGGGCGCCGTTCCCGTCGTAGGTCACGATGTCCCCGAGCATCTTCGCGGACGCCTTGGCCGCCAACGTCTGCGCGAGCCAAGCGGCCTTGGAGGGCCTCTGCACGTAGGAGGTCCACGGCGAGTTTGCTTCAGCGGCCGCCGCCGCCTTAGCACTCTCAACCTCCTTGTCGATGACGGTAGCTGACTCCGGCGTAGGGCATAGCGCGAGCTTGACCGCATCAGTGGTGTCAGCGATCCTCTTGGCGACCATGGCCTTGGCGATCGTGGAGCTGTCGCTTGCCTCCTCTAGCTTGAGCTCCAGGGCCGCGGCCTTCTTGTCCGGCGTAGCCATCGTGTCGACCATGCTCTTGCACGTCTCGGCGTCTGCGGAGTCGCGGGCGTTGATGGACTTGGCCTGGCCGATGACGCTTGCCCACAGCACCGACCACTTCACGCCGTCATGGGCTGCTGCGTCAGCTGCGCTGACCTCGGGCTCCCATGCTTTGACGAACTCGGATGCCGCCCTGCGCCGGGCCGCAACCTCGGCAGCCTTGCCGTTGGCCCCAAAGACGTCCTCATCGTCGTCCGCCATGTACGCCTGCACTACGGCGTCGACCTCATCCAGCAAGATGCACATGTATTGCGTCCTCAGCGCCGCGAACTCAGCAGCGGCAGTACTGGATGGGAAAAGGTTGCCCGCGTCCTTCATGCACTGCGGCGTGATTGAAGGTGCGCAGTCGGCGGCGGCCTGGTAACAGCAGCGCGCGACTGTGACGAAAGACGGCTCGATGGCCGAGCTGATAGCCGGGAGAAGTGCGCAATCCACGATGACGTGCAGCGCCTCCGTAGCCCCAGAGCTCTTCTGGAAGATGTCTGCTAACTTCTGAGGGCACAGAGAGCTCCACAAAGCGGAGATGGCCGACACCAGCTGCGGGTGGGTCCTGCGCATGACGGCGTGCTTGAGCCCTATCTGAACAGAGCTGGAAAACAATTTGCACCGCTGCAGTAGCTTGGGGTCGGCCTTGACCATGCGGGATATCACATCGGTTGGCGCCCCCCCCTCCTTCGCGGCAACTGATAGGGCGGCAGCCTCCGCCTCGACGGTCTGGCCTGTCAAGTCGGGGTCATCATCCGCCTCCTCGGTGTTAGGGACGATGACGTCGAAGTGATCGTTCACAAGCTTCGCCTTGATGTAGCAGCGGACAGATAACCAGCTGGTCAACTTCAGATATTTGGCCGGCGATGATGGTGGCGGTGCCGGGGTGCCGGGCTCCCTCTGCTTGGGCACTGTGATCTTGCCCGAGGCCGCGAAGCATACCACGAAGTTCTTGGCGTCCTCGATGCTGCTATCCTTCGCCTTGCCATCTGGAACGCGAGCCATGATGCAGTCGATCGCGTTCGTGGCGTCGTCGAGGAAGAGCGCCGGGCGGGCCTTGCCGTTCTTGCCCGTCTGGACCTCATGAATGTCACTGGCCCCAGATGCAAGGGCCTTAGCTGCAGCCGCCTTAGCCTTGGCCTCTGCTCGTTTACCCTTCTTCCCCTTGGCGGTGGTGGGCTTGGCGGGCTTGGCGACGAGGGCGTTCGACATCGGCTGCGGCTTCGGCTGGCGGCTCAACTGGAAGACTTTGCTCTCCTGCATCTGCTGGAGAAAGTTCGAGACTGATTTCAGCGAGGCCTTCGACTTGAAGTGCCACGGGGAGCCCTCGTTGGAAGGCACCACCAAACGAAGAACCTCTTCGGAAGGCAGGGCAATGATGTAAAGACAAAACTGAGAGTAAGGATGCAGGATGAGGATGCAAGCCAATTGGACGCCAATGCCGAAGCTTGTCATGTTGTCAAGCGGGGCTGGCAATCGAAATGGGCTGGTTGAGAATAGACCGAAGATGACAGAAGATGCAAGGATGCAAAAAGACCCCCTGGGCCAAGGGCCCCTTGGGAAGTCGCCCATCCTTCCTATCAGCCTATCAGCGCAGGAGGAGGAGACGACGGGGAAGACGGGGATGAGGAGGGGGGAGGAGGAGGAGGAGGAGGAGGAGCAGGAGCAGGAGGAGGAGGAGGAGGAGCAGGAGGAGGAGGAGGAGGAGGAGGGGGGTGCGACGGAGTCGGGGTCGGGGCCGGGCTGCTTTCCCAGGGAAGGATGAGACCCGGTTCAGCCACTCGGTGCGAAGGTCTGGGTACTTCTTAAACTTAGTCATGATATCCTTATTGCACAGCATCACCGTGGAGCGGTCCAGCGATGTATCAGAGAATCGGCAATGCTTGCCGCACCACGCCACGTACTCATCATACAGACCGAACTTGACCATCGCGCGGTAGAATATCTTACAGTTGAGGAACTCGTTATAGCTCTTGAACATGCCAGGGTGGTGCGAGGTCAAGTAGTCATGATAGTGGTCAGCGTACTTCTTACTCTTCTTGTCCTGGGGCACACGAAAACAAACCTCACATCATCACATCGGCACGAGGGGTGGGGATGGGGCGGTGTCGCCCCAAGCTTGTGCGCCAGCGGCGCTCCCCCCCCATCCGAAATCTGGCCCCCCCCCATTCGTTGGGCCGCTGTTGGGCGGGCGTTGGCGGGTGGAGGAGCGAAGGGCGATGTCCGCGGCATCGGGGAGGGCTCGCTTCGTGAACCATCGCAGGTTGAAAGTTGAAAATCTGGCTTCGAAAGGACTGCGCGAAGCATTACATGGCACATATAGCATATCTAGTATGAGGCTAGGTCAAAGCACCATCATGGAACCATGTATATGCAATATGTAACATGTAATGCTTACCCGAAACACCTGTGCAACATCGAACTACGCGTGCCGTCTGCGCTGCGCAGACGGACGCAACGTTCAGATAACACTTGAAGGGCGGGGTGGTAGGGTGGTAGGGGAGCTCGTTCCTCGGCGGGCCCCTCGTCCGCGTCCGCCCCGTCCAGCTCCGCAGCGCCTCCCTCGGGCTGCGCGGCTTCGGCGTTCCCCTCAGCCTCCTCAGCCTCCTCCTCATCCTCGTCATCTCCTCCGTGCTTGCCCCTCGCAGTGATATTGTTATCCCTGCAGTACTTGGCCCATCCCTGCTCGACCAGCGGCACCGAGTTGCATGCCTCAATGAAGCTCGTCGCGGCCCCCACCTGGTTGTACTTATTGTTCAGATCCTGCGGGCCAGGCTCGCTCTCTCAGTTACCCACCCCCCTGTTCCCCCCCCCCTCCGGGCGGTGGCAAGCAAGGGGGGCAGGGGCGCCCAAGGGCAGGGCTGGGGATCGGACCTCCGGCGCGGGAATATATGGCGGGACGGGTGGGGGGGAAAGAACACCAGACACATAGACAGCGACAGTCCTTCAAATAGCGCAGCACGTCCGGTGGAGTGCGCCTGTCGAGGAACGACACGTTGCTGATGCCCTCCTTGATGGTAGCAATGACCTGGGGGTTGTTCCTCTCAGCCTGGGGGGAGGTCGCCCACTTCTCCTTCTCCTCCTCCTCCTCGTCCTCCTCCTTCTCCTCATCCTCCTCCTCCGCCTCCTCATCCTCCCCCTCAGCCTCCTCGTCCTCCTCCTCCTTCTCCTCCTCCTCCTCCTCCTCTCCTCCTCCTCCCCCCTCCTCTTTCTCTTCCTCTACGGCCTCTCTCTTCCTCCCCCTTTTCCATCTTCCCATCCTTCCCTTCCTGCTCCTCCTGCTGCTGCTGCTCCTCCTCCTCCTCCTCCTCCTCAGCTCCTCGTCGTCGTCGTCCTCCTCCTCCCTCCTCCTCCTCCTCCTCCTCCTCCTCCTCCTCCTCCTCCTCCTCCCTCCCCCTCCTTGGATAGCCTCTGCTGCCATGTACAGCGCTTCCATACGGGTCGCATATGACATGAGCTCGTACTGGTTCGACCCGCGTGGACCAACTGGCACGGCGAGGCACTCCCCCCCCACATCCGAAAGCCAACCCTTCCTCGAGGATCGAGTTCATGTATTGCACAGCCGTGTCTTCGTGGTGCCTGTTGTTCTCTGGGTGCCGGCGGAGGAGCTTCTCGCCCTGCTCGTTGAAGAAGTTAATCTTCCCCATCTCTTCCTCGACGTACACGTCCCTCAGCATGCGCCGCAACATCACCCCCTTCACGCCTGGGAACCTCTCAGCGACAGTGAGCACAGACCTGTCCCATGGATGGGTGGCGGGGGCGCCGGAGCTGGCGCCGGAGCCAGCGGCGCTGGCCTGGGTGTCATCGGAAGAACCTAGAGACATGCCGGAAGCCCTGGCGCACAAGCTCGCTGCTCGAAGTGGGATGTCCCACGCGAAAAACAAGTAAGAGCAAAACCCTATTGGCCTAATGGCTGCAGTGGGCAACGCGCAGCGCGCTGGCCCGCAACAGGACCCAGGAGGTGTTAAGGGCCTTTCTTATTCTTGGACAGACCAGCCAGCGCGAGCAAACGAAAACTCCCTTCCTCCCTTCCCCCTCCCCCCTCCACCCCCACCCCCGTCCTCGCCTCGCCCAACCACCGCCGCCCCTGGCCCCTCGCCCTCTCGAGAGGGGAGGGGGGGCGGGCGGAGAGGAGCGCTGATTGGCAAGGAAGGAGGAGGGCGAGGAGGAGGGAGAAGGACGGGAAGGGCAGGGGGAAGGGCTGGGGAGCTTGAAGGGAGGATGAGAAGGGGAGAAGGGGGGGGAGGAGGCAACGGGCCCGAGCATGCGCCGGACACTTTACGACGAAACCCACAAAGTCAAGCGTTCGTCGCAAAGTGTCCGCCGCGCCCCCGACGCGGCAGGAACTCCCCAGTCAGCTCGGCCAGACGGCCTCGCGGCATCGGGGCATCGGCAGGCCAGCCGACCCCCATCGCCCGCTGCCAGCCGCTGCTGCCTGGGTCTAGGGGCGCTTCCTCACCCACCCCGCCCAGCCGCCCTCCTGCTTCCCTTCGCGCCCCCCTCCTCCTCAGGGAGCCGCCGCCCGGGGCCGCTCAGCTCAGGCGGCCCGACGACTCAGAAGGGGACCGGACGACTCAGGCCACATGGCTGGAGGGAAGGGGGCGGGCCCTGCCTCGCACCTCGTCAAGTTCCCCCATCTTCCTGGGCGGCCTGAGTCGTTCGGTCCTGTCACCTGAGTCGGTCGGCCCCCCCTCGCCTCCTCCTATTCCCCCATTCCCTCCCTCTTCATCCTTTGCGTTCCTCCTCGGGGGTCTCCTCTTCTCTCATCGGGGCCAGGGCATCCCCGACGGGCCGTCGAGGGTCGCAGCGTCCCGACGTGCCCCGAGCAGCCACGTTTTCCTCCTCGCTTTCTCTGTCTGGCAAAGTGCTGGCCAGGGCAGCGCGCAGCGGCAATCATTCTGGCTCGCGCCCGCATCTAGAGCCAATAACTATAACATGATTTGGTGCTGCTGTGCTGTGCCAGCTGAGCCGCGTCACTATAGTGGAAATGTCACGTGTAAACGAGGCCGCAGCCGCGCGGTCGGCTTGCCCCCCCATCCCCTCTCGTTTCCCCTGGTGCCCTCCTCCCCAGACCAAACCTGGAGCCATCCAGGACCCCGCGGCAACTCTAAGATTGGCCGTGACACACGCACAAACCAAGCAATGCTCGTGATCTGGTGCGTTTTTACAAACAACCTGCAGGAGCGAGCTTGCCGCGCGGGCCGTGCAGCGCGTGCAGTGCATGCGGACGATACCTACCTACAATACTGATTCCCTGCGGTTCATTGGGTCATGATCCGCAAGGCGCTGGCAAACCTCGACTGCTTAGAGGGCTGGAGCTGCGCATCCGTTGACGGCTGCAACGGGCGCTTCGTCGTCTATTCCGCCTGGGCGGTGCTGGCGGCCGTGACCTTGACGTCGAGCTTGATCGACATTGCAGCTGCAGCCTGGGCCCCGCCGCTGCCGCCAGTGGGGCCGTCGAACTGGCCGTCGGAGGTGCTGCTGCCGCGCGCAGTCGCGCTCGCCGTCGCCTCTGCCGTCACCTGGACGTGCACGGAGGCGGTGGCGGCGGCCGGAGCAGCTGGACCGACGCCGGAGGATTCCCCGTCGGGGCCGTGCCTGGGGCCGCGCGCCAGGGGCAGCGTGGTGGTCGAGAGCTCCGACCCCGCGGCGCTCACCAGATCATCTGGCGCGGGCCTCGGCAGCGCTGGCTCCGCCACTGCGCGGGGCGCAGGGCACAGGGGCACCGGGGCAGGGCGTGCGTCGACGGGGGGACGAACTGGCCACGGCTCGTCGCCGACGTCGCCATCTGTCCGAAGATTCCGACCGACCCTGCCCAAGTCATCGAAGATGAGGAACACCGCCCCGAGGCAGGCGCCGGCAACGCAGACGTGGTACGCGTTCCCCATCTGGTTGACGTGGGACCGGCGGGTCCTGTAGGCCCCGCGTGACCACCGTGACAACTACCAGAATTCATCACCCCTCCCTCCTGACTCGTCTCGCCTCCTCCGACCCTCCCCTCGCCGACCCGGCCCCCATGCCCTTCCCCCCTCCTCGAAGCAGCTTCCTTAAAATTATCATCCTCATCATCATCATCATCATCATCATCAGTATCACCATCATCATCATCATCATCATCATCATCATCATCATCATCATCAGCATCATCATCATCACCATCACCATCACTCGATCATCATTATCCTCTTCCTTATCCTCATCATCATTATCAGCGTCACCGTCACCATCGTCATCATCATCGCCAGCATTATCATCGCCATCATCTACATCATCACCATCATCGTCATCATCGCCATCATCATCACAACCATCATCGTCATCACCAGCGTCGTCGCCGCCGCCTCGGGGAGGTGGGCTGGCTCGCAGAGTTTCGACCCAGCTCCGACTGGCAGGCGGCTCTGCGCCGCGGGCGAACTGGGATGACGCCCCGGCCGCCAGGATCGTCTCGGGCGTGCACGGGTACCCCATCGCGATGGACATCTCGAGCGGGGTCATGAAGCGCTGGCGCTTCGACTCGAGCAGGTGCCCAGTGCCCCTGGTGATCGTGTGAAGGTACTGGCCCTTCGACATCACCACGCGGTGGGCGGGGTCCTGATTGACGTCGTAGAGAAAGTTGCTGTCCGGCCGACCGAGCTCCTCCCGGCGCTCCTCGTAGTTGATCGCGCGCATCAGCTCCTTGGCGCTGATGGCGTCGTAGGGCCTGGCGCACGGGTCGAGGGCGCTGCTCGAGGCCGCCTCGGCGGGGACGACGCGGGACGCAACTGACGGTCTGGCCTTGGCCAAGGCGTACTCCGCGTCAATCTCCTCGTCGGTCGAGACGAAGAACACCCCGAAGTCGCACGTGGGGACACGGTGCCACAACTGCTCGAGCACGCACTTGAAATTGCCAAAATCAACGTCGTACGCGCCCTGCCGGCGCATCGGGCGCGGGATGCGCTTCGAGTCCAAGTATGGATACAGCCACTCCTTGAGAAAGAGAACGCAGATGCTCCGGGCACGCGACGCTGGGAAGCCGAACTGCGTAGGGCAGCACGGCACCCGCGTGATCACGTACATATCCCCGAGACACTCAACCAACTCGTCGGGCTTGAAGCCTTTGACGTTCTCGCGCAGGATGACGCGATCCTCAGGCGCGGGGGGGGGGGACAAATGCATGCAATCCTCCAGACCATCATCATCATCATCATCAGCAGCAGCAGCATCATCATCAACATCATCATCATCATCATCATCATCATCTGCATCAGCATCACCATCACCATCAGCATCAACATCATGTCGTCGCCGCGTTGATCCCCATCGCCGTCGCCATCATCATCATCATCATCATCATCATCATCATCATCATCATCAGCAGCAGCACCATCATCATCCCCATCATCAGCAGCATAAACAACATTCTGCCCTGGTCCCTCCGTTGCCTGGCTCCTCCTCCTCCGCCTCCCCCTCCTCATCGGTGTTCTCCTCCTCCTCCTCCGCCTCCTCCTCCTCCTCCTCCCCCGTCCTCATCGTTCTCCTTCGGTCGTCACTACGTGCACCCCCTTTTCCCGGGGGTCCTTGACCGTGCGCCTCTGGGCACACCAAGCCCAGAAAAACTTCGCCCTCTTGCCCTGCATGCGCAACAACTTGCCGAACACAGCATGGTCCTGGCAGGGGTTACCGGCCGAGTGAATGTCAGCGGCATGCTGGACGGTGCAACGCTTCTTGTGCACCTTGCACAAGCCGAAGACGGACGCCTTGCTGTACGGCAAGACCTTGCGCAACTCATCAGGGCTGAGCTCGTCGGCAGCGTTATACACGCCGACGTCCTTCCACAGATCCCGGTTCACGAAGTCCAGAATGTCCCCGAAGATGCAGGCGGGCGCGGCGGCTCCCAGCGCCGCGAGCTCCACCTGGCACTTGGTGTCCCACTCGATCGCGTACATGTGCACAGTCTCGAGCGGATGGCGATCATCCACGATGCCGGCAGTGGCCTTCAGCTCGGACACGACGCTGCGGGCGCTGTTGGTGAAGGACGCCGCCGCGATGATATCAGTACCAACGCCCGAAAAGGCCGAGGACATGGTCACGCTCCTGCCGTGGAGAGCCTCGATGAAATCCATAAGCGGCACCGCCTCAGCATCGCATATCTTCTGCAGCCCGTCCTTGGCCCAACTGAAAGCATCACTGGTGGTGCGAGTCGAACCAGTGCCGGCCTGCGTCAGCTTACTGATGGAGATGCGAGGGTTAAGGCGACACGGTGGCATGCTGCCACGCAGCGTGCTCTGGGACACGGTGCAACGGCGTCTGGGAGAGTGCGTCTGGATAAAATTGAGGTCCGCACAACAAAAAAATGCAACGAATGGCTGATGCGAGCCATGGGGCCACGGTGATGTGAGGATGATGAGCACGACCAGATATCCACGAAATCACAAGCACGTACTGGCTGGAACCATGAAAAACGAATGAGTTCGCAGTGCGCGTTGGACGCTGTTTGAAATCGGCAATCCGCCGATTCGGAGCTCCCCCGAGAGCGCTGTTCAGGACGGTCCTGAACAGACCCCTGACTGTTCAGGACACGGCGGGCCTGTCCTGAACGGGGGACGCCCCTGTTCAGGACACGGGCGGTCTGTCCTGAACGGGCGCCCCCCCCGTTCAGGACACCCCCCCCCACGTGTCCTGAACGTGCGGCGGGTGCGTTCGGGACGGGGGGCGGGCTGTCCAGAACGGGAGGGGTGGCGTTCAGGACAGGCAGGCCGTGTCCTGAACCGGGGGGGGAGCGTTCAGGACTGTCCTGAACGACCCTCTCGGGGAGAGCTCCGAACTGGCAGAGTGCAGATTTCGCGCAGAGTCGCACAGACATGCATCATCCACTGATTTCTGAGAATTTGCATGTCTAAATCAACCCTAAATCACACCAAAACCGCATGCTGGCAAATGAGTTAGCACGCACAGGAATGCCTGATACTCTCCACGAGCTAAATATAATTAACAACATCAACGCACGTGCTCGTGGTCATCGTGAGACTGGCGCAACTCCCGAGGCCCTGCGCTGTTAAATATCACACCGGCTGCGGTCATATATGCACCCTGTTGTTGGTGACAGTCTGGCTTATTTGCAATGCAATGTTGTCCGGCGGTGTCCACATGCCCGCAAATTATATCCAAGACAGGGGCTGTTCGAGTAGCGTAGCAGGTTACCTACTTGTTTTTTCCCCACATCCTATGTCGCTCGAACTCGCCGCCTGGTGGCGTCTAAGGTTACCTACTTGGTGCGATGCACGACTGAACTGTGATGTCCACGTGGTGTCCCACTGGAATCGCTAAGGGCAGCTTTCGGGTGGGTGGTTTGACGTCTCGAACTATGAGTCGCACCCCCCTCTCACCCTTATCCTCCTTGTCAGCCTCCTCTGCCTCAGTTCCCCCCTCCCCCCCCTCCGCTCGACTCCGCCAGGCCCCCGGGCGGCGGCGGCGGCCCTCTGGCAGCAGCCTCGGCGCCCAGGCGCTGCAGTGGGGGGGGGAGTGACGAAGAGAAGGGGGAGGGGCAGAGGAGGGGGGTGATGGTGATGGTGATGATGATGCTGCTGATGATGATGATGGCGTGCGTGTCTTTCCCACATAACATTGTCCAGAGAATGGGGGCGAAGAAAGGCCGATGGCGAAGGGGTGCGAATGCACCCTCAAACGCATCGCCCCCCGGCCTGCCAAGATGATGATGATGGCGATGCTGATGCAGATGCCGATGGTGATGAGGATGGGGGATAGGGATAAAGAGAACGTTGAGGATACTGCCGATGACGATGATGATGATGACGAGTTCAGGCAGTCGAAGCTACCCACCCCCAAGTTAAGGCTGCTCTGCAGTGGTAAGAGGAAGAGAAATATCGATGTGTTGTTTACACGTGCCACTTCAGGTTTTCTGCCGGCAAGGTTTCAGATAAAACTTCCAAATCAACGAAGAGAAGAGAGGGGGAAGTTGGGGAAGAGGAGGAGTAGGAGGAGGAGGAAAGAAGGAGGAGGAAGAAGGAGGAAGGGTAGGAAGAGGAGGGGAGAGGATGCAGGAGGAGGGGCTGCATGCGGAATCCATCCGAGATGATTTCTCGGATCGGCGCTGGACCCCCCCTTCGACGCACCGTGCCCGTCAGGGCCCCCCTTCTGGGGCTTGCGCACCAGGCGCTGCCAGGTGGGCCTAGCGCCGACCCAAGAAATCAACGCGGCGGCCAAACTCTTCTCGACTGCGGTCGATATGTCGGGGCTGTCGGGCAGGCGGGCGAGATGGCCAGTCCCGTGGTCTCGGCACGCAACGGCATTCGACTCGCTGAGGTGCTCATCGCCAGCTCGTTCCACCTTGTGCAACGCACCCTTCCCTCCTTGCCCGCCCCTCCCCACTATGACGGTGCAACTCGAAACAGAAAGTTGAAGGCTGAATTCGGGAATCGGGAATTACTGACCCGCAGCGCCGTCGCGCCGTTCAAAGAGGCGCAACAGAGCACACTTGCACAAGCAGCACGCCATCTCGCATGGCTCCAGAACGCCCCGCAGCGCATCAATCGCAACAACGTTGGGCAGACTGGCAAGCGCGACAGCAACGTCAGCCTCCAGGCTGGCGATGAAGAGATCAAAAGCCTGATCTGGCAAAGAAGCCTCGACCGAGGGGCCCGAGGGGGGGGTCAGAGGTCCGCCGCAGACGCGGCAGACGTCGGGGCCAACGTGGTCCACCTCCCGCCCAGATAGACGTTCGAAAAGTTCCCTAAATGTAAGTGCGGTCTCTGGCATATCGTCCCTCAGGTGCCCCGCTCGCCTTGTCATTGTGGCGAGGGCGTTAGGCAAAATCACACGGGCCGCGCCGTGTGCAAATCGGTCAGCCAGGCTAACGCGCTGCCCTGGCTGTTTGTAAATGATGCCGTTTCTGCAATCTAAATCAATGAACCGCCCAGCGAACGCCAGGCTGTTATCCCAGAAAAACCATCTAGTGTAAACTACCTTAAGGGTCTCGCCCGAATCGTCAATTTCAGCATCGTCTGTGCACTCAAGAAGTGCGATCATTCTGTCCGTGCACGTGCAGAGCCGGCGCTGCATGTGCCCCTCTGTCTGCACCCCGCAGAGGTAGGCGATTGCACCCACGGGAACCCTCAAACGTTGAGCCCAATCCTTCAAGAATCCTGCCAGCAGACACGACAAACACCCCCCCCAACTAACTTGCCCCCTGTCATTGCCGGGACGGGGCAATACTCAGCTGGGTAAGCCTCCAGGCGCGGCGCAGCTGAATCTCGGGACGGCCCGGCACCCCCTTTCTTCCCCAACGATTGCAATTGAGTTTGATTAGAGAGGACGCGCGAGAGGACGCAGGGCCATGCTGCCCCAGGGGGTCGCAGAGGACACGTGATGTGAGGGCGCAAAACATTGGATTGGGTGCCCTTGATTTGGCAGGGTCGACCTTTCGCATCAAACTCGATTGTACTATGTGACGTGCGAGCAGCCTTTCCCCCTTCAAATCCTTCGACGGCCGCGACGTCGTCGCCGTCGCCTCTGGCGGCCGCGCCAGAGGCGGCGCCGAGGTCCACGTGGGGCTCGAGACCGATCTCAATATTGTAGGCGATGTTCTGCAAGGCTTCGTGCGCCAGGTGAGCCGGAAATGTGTTCGTTGATATCTGGCCCGTGCCTGATGCATCGCCGTCATGGTCTGCCAACCACGAATCGATCGTCGCTCCTGCTGATGCCCCATCATCGTTCTGCTGCCCGAGTGCAACAGTACCCTGCTGAGCTTTCTTCATCTCAGCATCTATGATTGTCTCGAGCTCAGCGGCGAGACGAAGGTGCGCCGTCGTCTCCTCTCCTGTCTCCGCACCCTCCTCCTCGCCGCCGGCTCCAGGGTCGTCGAGGCTGCCACCATGTCCCATCATCTCGTGGAACGCTTTCTCCTCCTCGTCCTCGCCCTTGCCCTCCTCCTCCTCCTCCTCACCCTCACCCTCGCCGTCCAGGCTCGCCGGCGGCGGCCCTGCCGCCGCCGTAGGCCCGGGCGCGGGAGGCGCCTTGCCGCTGCTGTGCTTTCTCTCGCCCTTGCTCGTCTTGAGCGGGCGCAAGCACCTGGCGGCGGGAAGTCGGCGAGGAGAGGATGGGCGCTGGAGGTCGTCGTCGTCGTCGTCGTTGTCGTCGTCGTCGCAGTCGTCGTTCGTAATCGTCGTCGTCCTAGTCGTCGTCGCAGGCCGACGGGCGATCCGACGATCCGACGACGGCGAGGAAAGACCCCCCTCCAGGCTCGACGTCGAACGCGACGGGGCCAGGAGGGCGACGGGGGGCAGGGGCGAGGGTGGAAGGAGGAGGAGGAGGAGGAGGAGGAGGAGGAGGAGGAGGAGGAGGAGGAGGAGGAGGAGGATGGGGAGGAGGACAGAACGCCACAGTCCGAGGATTCAGGTTCGCCCAGCGTCAAAACTGAGGAGGAAGAGAAGGGCAAGGAGGAGGAGGAGGAGGAGGAGGAGGAGCAGGAAAGGGAGGAAGGAGGAAGGCGGGGGGCTGGGGCACCTCTCAATGAGTTCGCCACTCAGCACCTCGACGCGGCTCGAGAAGTGGCACATGTCAGTTCTGTGCAGACACCAAGAGCCAATGCAGAGTACCAAAGGATGCATGACACCAGCTAACGGCCACATGATCTCGCCAATGAGTTTGACGAGGGGCTTCGGGTCCAGCAGGAATAACAGCCTGGCATAGTCTGCCGCGTCAGCGGTTGACATATCCACATCATCCTCCTCAGCGAGCACCTCAACTCGCACTCCCCACAAAGATGAACGGAAATAATGACTCACAATGAACCCGTTATCAGTGCCCACTTGCCAGAATACGAGTCGGCTCGAAGGTTCCAGACCGCGGCGAGGGATAGAAGCTGGAAGGTCACCACCACCAGGAAGATCAGCATCTCGTCTCTGAGCCTGCTTGGGACATACGCACCCTCATCCGCCTCCTCCTCCTCCTCCTCCTCCTCCTCCTCTCCTCCTCCTCCTCCTCCTCCTCCTCCTCCTCCTCCTCCTCCTCCTCCTCCATCCGCTCCCCCACTCCATCCTTTGTTCAGTCCTCCTCCTCATCGTTCTTCCCCCATCCTCCCCCCCCCCCTCACAGCGGAGGGAGGGGAGGGGGGGCTTGAACTGGGGCGATGGAGCGATGGCCTTGACCATGGCAAGGACCCTAGTCGCGAAGAGATCCGATGGCGACGGCCCCGGCGCACGCAGCTCCTGCCCCCGCTGCTCCGCCTGTAGGCCGGACATGCCGCCAGCGGCGGCGCTGGGCTGCTGCGCCAGCGGCAGCGGCGGCGCTGGGGCGGGCGGCGCAGGCCCGTCTGCCAAGGGCTCGGCCGGCACGACGTCGCCGACGCCCGTCGCCACGACCGTCGCCCACCGGGCGCCGTCGTCCATGTCCCGAACAGCCAATGCCTCTCGGACGCGACGACGACGACACCTCTCGCCTCCCTCCGTCGGGCCTCGTCCCCCCTCTCCACCTACCTCCTCCTCCTCCTCCCCCTCCTCCTCTTCCTTCTATGCATCCTCCTCCTCCTGATCCTTCTCCTCTTCCTCCTCAGGGACTCCTCCTCATTGCTCCTCCTCCTCCTGGGTCCTCCTCCTCCTCATCCTCCTCATCATCATCACCCTGCCCTTCCTCTTCATCCTCTGACCTCGGCATGGTTGCCGATGCGCAGATCGAGGAATGCCCGCCGGGCGGAGGGCGATGCCGACATACTGGAGCATCTCTTCTTGATAGTAATGCGAGAACTCATGAGCGGCAACTTGATGCTGGGGGCCAACTTGTATATGTGCTTGATGACGTTGTTGCAACCTTCGATCTCCTGCGCGTCCGCAGCCCACGAGTGGGCGAGCTCTGTCAGGAAGGCGTGCAACTCCTGAGCGAGAGTCTGGGCCACGGCAGCGCCCTCCAGCTCAACCTTGAATATGCGAGCCACTTTGAGCGTTGTTGGGCACGACCCCGGGAACGGCGCATCCGCGCCCTGACCCAGCATGCGCAGCATGTCCTGGGTCGGGGCGCGGAGGCGCGGGAGGGGGGGGAGGGCGGGAAGAGAAAGCTAAGGCTAAGGACTGACTAAGGACATAAAAGAGGAGGGGGAGAGCGGGGGATGGATCAAGGGTTGATCGACGTCCGACGGCCGCCCTCGCTTCCTGGGCAACTGCAGCTCGGCGCGGACATCGCACGTCGTGAGGCTGAGTTACCAGGAGGAGCATTCTACATGGGAACTCTGAGATGTCATTCAGAATACGCCGTTGGAAGTCTGATCTTAATTCTAATGTCAGCTCAACAATCAGGGCAATGACATTCTCTTCGAGGGCGTCGCACTCCCCCTCGCACTTCTCGATTTCCGAACAAACAGGGCCCCATATAGTGCGGTGGGATGGCCTCTCCAGAAGCGTGTCCCATTCTGATGCAATGCTGGCAGCCTTACCCGACACGAGCTCCAACATTTTAGGTTGTCCTGGGGCCCGGCGCTCGCGATCATCAACTCGCATGTCAGTGCGGTCCACTTTCTGCATCCAACACAACAGATGGTTGAGCGGCCCTCTGGTCCGCCCGGCAATGAGCACGTGCGCCCAAAACGCGCCGTCCCGAAGAGAAGACAGTGCGCTCGTAATCCACCGGCCATACCTAGAGGCCTCTTAGATGGGGTAGGAGGGTCCGAGTAGATAGAGTTGAAGGGTCGCGCCGCATCGCCAACGCATCGGCGACGCATCGGCGATAGATCGGCTAGCGAACGCTGTCTCCGACTGTGTCCACATCGAGCCGCATCGTCGATGCATCGGCCCATCGGCGATGCGCCGCGATCCTCCGACCCCATCTGCTCGGGCCGCATCTGAGAGGCCTAGAGTACCTCTCCTGATAAGACTCTTTGGCGTCAGGGTCGTCCTCAAGCCCAGTGGCTCGCCGGCGCTTCGCCGCGCCCGCGGCCTTGGCCGTCGCCTCCTGCACGAGGATGTCCTCGAACACGCGGAGCAACTTGTCTGACCCGCGCTCCCCAAGGTAAGCCTGGCGCCGCCGAGAGGGGGCGGGCGCGATGGCGAGGGTGGAGTGGGCCGGCCGGGGGAAAGTGGGAGGACCGGGGCGAGAGGGAGGCGGGCAAGGAGGAGGAGGATGAGGAGGAGGAGAAGGAGGAGGAGGAGTTGGAGGAGGAGGAAGTGACCCTTTCCACCCCCCTCCCCTCCTCTGCCTCAACCTACCTCCGTCCGAGCTATCCTCCGACCACGGGCTGTCTGACCTCCTTCCGAAGAACGAGCGAATTTTCTGATGCTGCCACGCGCCTCTGTCATTGATATGGAGCCCCAGCGTCCCCGGAGAGGCCGAGGGGGAAGACGACGAAGATTCGCCTTCGCGTCCTCAGTGGAAAACACGCTGCACCATCTGCTGCACACCCTGGCAGCCATGCCGGTGGACCGCCAAACGTTGATCAACGTGGCGAGGCGGCCATAATAGTTCGCTGACCAGTTCCTGTCGAGCCTCGCCAGTTGCAGCTGCGCGCCAGAGTGGCCCATGTGATCGATGCAGAACTGATGGATAAATAAAGTCGTGTCCATCGGCATGACCATGCGTGAAATGATCGTCCTCGAACCCTGCTGATCTGGACCTAGGGGGAGAAACGACAGTCCTCCTCCTCCTCCTCGACTCCTCCTCCGTCCTCCTCCTCCTCATCCTTTTCCTCCTCCTCCTCCTCCTCCTCCTCGACCTCCTCCTCCTCGTCCTCCTCCTCCCCCTCCTCCTCCACTCCTCCTCAACCTCCTCCTCCTCCGCCTCCTGCTCCTCCTCCCCCTCGTGTTCCTCCTCGTCCCCTCCTCCTCCTCCTCCTCCTCGTCCTCCTCCTCCTCATCTCTCGCCCTGCCCTTCCGTTCCTCCTCCTCCCTTCCTAGGCCGTTGACCCCCGCCTCCTGCGAAGCCACCGGCCCTGGCCCGAGGCGCCAGAGCGCTGGGCCGGCTGCCCCGGCCCCAAGGACACCCGGGGGCGCGGGCAGGGCAGGCGAGGAAGCGAGGAGGCAGAGTCTGAGGAGGAGGAGGAGGAGGAGGAAGTTTGTAGGTGCACGGCGTGCGAATTCAAACCCATCCCCGACCTTTGTCAGTAGTGAACAGAAACACTCGCAAATGACGCTGCAGCCCCTGGCAATAGTCAGGGTCGTCGTCCCACAACTTGAGGCCCGCACACTTCAGCTGTTTCATGTACAAGACAACCTGCTCGCGGCCCGAGTGGCTGACGGCAACGAACTGCAAGTCTGGGTGCACCGACTTGGATTCCCGGAGGTCGTCGTCGATGTCATGATCTAGCAATGCGCCAATGCGCTTTCATGCCGGCCCGAATGTGCCAACGCGCCCACCCCCGCACCTCCCCGGCAAAGGGGCCGAATGGTGCGTCCGCGCTCTGGCCGAGTGAAAGGAGGAGGAGGGTGAGGGAGAGGAGGGGGAGGAGGGGGAAGAGGGGAGGAGGAGGAGGAGGAGGAGGAGGAGGAGGAGGAGGAGGAGGAGGAGGAGGAGAAGGGTGAGGAGGAGGAGGACGAGGAGGAGGAGGAGGGAGAGGAAGGAAAGGGGAACGGAGGCAAGCACCGCGCAGGGTCGCCATTCCCCCCGCCGCACCGATGCCGCTACTCCTCGGATCTCTCCCGGGGCGCGTTCTGCCTAGGATTTCGAAGTGACTCCAGTCGTGGCGAAGAGGGATCTCCAGGGCGAAATGCGATGCGGCATCGGACGCGCGATAAAGTGAAAAGCGCAAGCCTGGCGCGTAGTACTTGCTGGCCGCCTCGAGCACGTGCACCTTCATGCTCTGGACCGAGCTGGCATTGGTAGCATCGCCTCTGACGTTGTGGATCTCCCACGAGAACGCATCGCCGGGTGTCTTCACGAAGTTCCGGATGCGATCCTGCTGGCGCCGATGCCAGAGCCTGGACTCGCCGATGATGTTGTTGGCGAGGCACTTCTCCCAAGTAGTCACGGACCTCGGACGGAGGTGGGGTGGGTCGGGCGCGCCCTTCCTTCCCGCCCTTCGGGTGTTATGGTGGTTGCGTAATTGGGAACCTGGAACAGGAACAGGAGCGCGAATGTTCGGGGGGCCCGAGTGCAAACCGATGCGAGTACTTGAATTAGATCCATCCCGATCGATGGTCGAAGGAGGAAGAGGAGGAGGCGAGGAGGAGGAGGAGGAGGAGGAGGAGGAGAAGGAGGAGGAGGAGGGGGAGGAGGAGCAGTGAGAAGAGGAGGATGAAGCAGAGCCCTTCCTCCTCCGTGCCGTTCCGTTCCGTGAGTCCGCCGACCCGATTATGATTCCCCCTCCTCCGCCTCCTCTTGCTCCTCCTCCTCCTCCTCCCTCCCCATCATCCTTCTCCTCCGCCACCCGCGCCACTCCTGCTGCAGTCGGCGATCGGCGTCGCGACTGGGCGCTGAGCGCTCGACACGCGGCCGACTTTCGCATCCACGATCTGGGCCAGCGCGGTCGCCCCCACGTGGCCGAGGTTCCGCTTGATCGCCAGCGAATACCCGCCGACCAAACCTGGGGCGGAGGCGGCGGGGGCGGGGGGGGGAAGGAGGCGGGCGGGGGGGCGCCCGGGAGGAGGGGCGTGGGGGGGCTCTGGGGACAGGAGGACGTGAAGTTCACGCCGCGTCCTGACGCCCGCCCTCGCCCCCCCTCCTCGTCGCCCCTTCTGGGGCCCGCGTTGTGGCCCCGGTGAACTCACGTTCCACCGCTCGGACTCGGCCTTGCGCCGCTTCCCGTGCTTCACGAACTCAAATTCTGCCAACTTCTGCTTTGCAAGTGCGAGTTCGTTCCTATACTCATCTGCTTTGGCTTTCCAGTAGTCACGGTTGCGGCGAACTCTCTTGATGGCCCGCACCGCCACCACCGAAACATCCGGAGCCTCAACGATGGCCATCACTTCCTCATCCTCAGCCTGAGCCCCAGCTTCCTCATCCTCAGCAGCAGCCTCCTCCTCCTCCTCGCCGCCCTCGGCAGCAGCGCGCTCGGGGAGGGCCCCGGGGAAGGCGGGGCCGGCCGCGGGGGCTCGCAGTAGCCGCCGGCCACGAGACTCAAGCAGCGGCGCCACGACATTGTCGATGTAGGCGAAGGCGTCGGGGGCCACGTCCTAGGGCGGGCAGGCGGCGGCGGCAGGAAGGCTGAGGACAGGGGCTTACCAATCCAGGGATCGGATCGAGTCGAATTCGGCGTCGCCGATCGTGGATCGTTCACGATCGCCGACGCCAGGTGACCTGGAAGTGACCTGGTCGAGACAGGCTGACCCTCCTCCTCCTCCTCCTCCTCCTCCTCCTCCTCCTCCTCGTCATCATCCTCATCATCATCGTCGTCATCGTCATCATCATCATCTTCATCATCGCCATCATCATCATCAACCTCATCATCATCACCATCATCGTCACCATCGCCATGATGATCATCGCCAGCATCATCGTCATCAGAATCGCCATCGTCATCATCATCGTCATCATCATCACCGTCAGCATCACAATCATCGTCTTGATCATCACCCACTCCCTCCTCGTCCTCCGCCTCCTCCTCCTCCTCCTCCTCCTCCTCCTACTCCTACTCCTACTCCTACTCCTCCACCTCCTCTCATCCTTCTATCCTTCTCCTCGTCCTCCTTACCTCCTTCTCCTCCTCTCCTGCTCCTCCTCCTCTCGCGGGTCCACGCCCAGCTCCGCCGCGGCTCGCCGCAGGACGGCCAGGCCGAGGAAGCCGACGCCCGGCTCCAGGGCGGCCGCGGCGGCGACAGCCTGCCGGAAAAGACGGGCGGCGCGCGGGCCGCCCCCCGGGCGCGCCCCCGCGCCCCCCCCCCTCCTCATCTCCTCCCGCAGTCTCCTCCTCCTCCTCCTCCTCTCCTCCTCCTCTCTCCTCCTCCCTCCTCCGCCTCCTCCTCCCTTCCCCTCTCCTCCTCCCACCCTCCTCCTCCTCTCCCTACTTTATCTCTTCAGCCACCTCCCCCCCCTCCTCTTCCTCCTACTCCTCCTCCTCCTCTCCCGCCTCCTCTGTTTCCTCCTCCTCCTCAGGACGCCTTCTCGTCCTCGCTTCCCCCTTCCTCCCCCCCTCGTGGCCAGCCCTCGCCCTCCTCCTCTTCTTCCTCCTCCTCCTCCTCCTCCTCCTCTTCCTCTTCCTCTTCCTCTTCCGTTCCTTTCCTTTCCTCCTCCTCCTCCTACTCCTCCTCTCTTCTTCTTCCTCCTCTTCCTCAAAGGCAGGCCTTCCCGACGCGTCGGCCCAGAGCAGGCCCGCACTCGTCCTCGCCGGCGGAGGCGAGGAGCGAGCGCAAGCAACTGGCCACAGCAGCCCCGTTCAGAAACACGCACCGCCCGCCATGGACGTGGGCCCACGCGAGCACTGACCTGGTCACTAGACCTTCCATGCCCGAAGCCAAAATGGCTGCGTGAACTGCGACGCCAGGACCAGGACCCAGATAAGGACGCAAGGCCGGGGCGAGAGGATGCAAGGCCCAAGCGTCGGCCCCCAGCACCTTCAAGAAGTGCCGAATAGACGAGGATACAAGAGTGACCTCTGTAGACTGCTGCACCCCACCGCTGGATTCGACTGCGAAGGTTGAATCGGAAAAAAGGGCGGGGGAAGGAGGGGGAGGTGGAGGAGCGGGGGAGGAGGTGGAAGAGGAGCAGAAGAAGTAGAAGAAGGAGACACGAAGGAAAAAACCCGAGGAGGGGAGGGAGAAGGATGAAGCAATCCTTGCCTATCTGACTGACACGTGTCAGTCAGACTGACACGCGTCAGTCCTTTGAAGGGCCTCCTGGGGCCCTTTAAAGGAATTTACCGAAATATCCCAAGAATGCCCAAGACGAACAAAAACATAATCCGATATGAAATGTGATTGTTTTTGCTACACGTCGCATACAACAAAAACAACAAACTGTCTGAAACGCCACGCCTCGACCCCCCCAGAGCCTCCGAGGCTCTGGGCGGGTTCCAACAAAAATAACAACAAGAACAAACAAACACCAAAAAAAAAAGCACACAAACAAAAATGAAAATACGCAGCGGCCCAGCGAAAACACGCAATTATGGACATCTACGTCCCGCCCACGATCAAGTGTCGCAACGACCCTGTGGGACCTTGGGCTCTAATTGATGCATGCGCGGGCCGACGAAATACATTGTATCAACCTGTCAAGCTGATGCGTTGCGTCGTGCGCGGGCCAGCGTCAACGATGTGTCATGTGGTTTTCAGAATGTCCAGCTTGTGTGGCGTATGCGTGTAAGTTATAAATGAGCCATGCGCTGATCAGTCAAATTTACAATGTCATGATGCTCGATGTGCCCAACCCATTGGTTTTGCATGGGTTCTGTAATTCCCATCTGGTCGAAACTGATGGTTGTTGATTGTTTTCAGCCCGCGCAGCTGATGCATTTCTATAGAATTCATACTGACAGGCGACGTGCACGTACCAAATTTGATGATTTCCTAGATTCCCGACGCCCTGGATCTGCATCATTTTTAGTCGTTTCCACACCCAAACCCCTGGCCTGAACACAAACGGCGGCCACGCAGGATCGGTCACTTTACCACCTCCCCAGTCGTGGTCTGCTGCGTGCGCCTCGCCACTACCGGGTAGGAGCCGCGCGCTAGCTTCAGGTCGCTGAACCACTTCCTGGCGTCCGCGTAGGTCGCGTAGACTTCGTCGCACCCGCCTGGGTCGAGCTCTTGAGCTGCGTTGGTGTCGCGCTGCTAGAAGCTCGTCGCAGTCGCGCCAGGGTCTCGTCATCCTCCGCCCAGTGCGTCTGGTCGTAGTCGTCTGGCTCGTCCTCTGGCTCGCCAGTGTAGAACTCCTCATCGTAGTACTCTGCTGTGTCCACGTCAGCGAAATACTGCTTCCGTGCGTGATTCGGCTCGTGCATACTACTCTCCTGCCCGAAAGTTGTCTCCAACACCTCGGTGACCTTCTCCTGTGTGATATCCTTATCAACTAATGGCGTGATGGCCGAATTTCTGGTCCGCGTTGCATCCTCCTCGTCGTAGCGCGAGCCAGCCTATGACCTTCGCCGGTAGCTAGACGTCGTGCGTCCTGAGCTTGGGCCCTGCAGAGTGCGCTCTTGATCTGCAGACGGACATGCGTCTCACCCTTGCACCGCTTGAGCTTGAAGAAATACTCCTCGAAGTCGTCCGCGAGCTCCGTGCTGTCGTCCATCTTGAAACGATTCCGCAATCAGGCCATGAGCTGCTTCGCCGCGTTGGGCTTCATGAGCTCGTCTGCTGAGAGATCCTCCACTTCGTTCCAAGCTTCGCCTGTGAGACCTGCGCTGAGCATGAGAGCCGTTTCGCCCTTCCTCTTCTCCAGTGTGAGCTTCGCAATGAAAATCATCGCCCGCTTCTCGTATGTTTTCCATTTGCTCAGCGTGCCGTCGAACTGTGAAACTCCTCGCTCCGGTAGCATGTCCGCCATTGGCATATCCATCGTGCTGAGCTGAAACTGCAAGGGGTTGCCGTCGGATGCTCGCTGCTCGAAATCGAAACTGCCCTTGTCTACGAAACCGACTGCGAGGTCGTATGTGGGCAGCCGTGAAACTGCCTTGAAAATATCCTCTGCGATCGGCTGTGCAATCGCTGATATATGCTGGGAGATCGAAGCTGCTGATGGAGTGGGCGACCAGATCCGAAGAGCGGTCGCTGAGAGATGGAAGGTCGAAGCGTGGGCCTGGCTTACGATCCTCCGCTACCAATGTGAACTCATCAAAGCCCCCGAAGTCTGAGATGGCAGTACGAATGAAAAACCAGAAGAACCACGGTTCAGTGAACGGCCAGCATGTCTTGAAATTAAAATGGCGGCCGCAACATGGAGCGCGAAGGAAATACCAATGGACTTGCATTTGAATGGCCGCACCCGCGAACGAAAGGGGACCATATGCTACCAGCAACACATCAATCCAGCCGCAAGGCTTTGGATGTGCGAGGTACTCCTGCAGACACTCCACCCCGGCGTTCACCGGCGGAGACCGCCCCGAAGAAGGCGAGCACCGACTGGCGCTCATGTCGGCGCACGTATGTTCCAACCCAACGGAACCTCGCCCATGCCGCTAACTCGCTCGAGCCTGATAATCTTGAGCCAACATGGCTACGTCCTCGTGTGTCCTCCTCCTCCTCCTCCTCCTCCCCTTCCTCCTCCTCCTCCTCCTCCTCCTCCTCCTCCTCCTCCTCCCTCTCCCCTCTCTCCTCCTCCTCCCTCCTCCCTCCTCCTCTCTCCTCCTCCTCTCTCCTCCTCCTCCTCTCTCCTCCTCATCTCCTCTCCTCCTCCTCCTCCTCCCCGTCTCTCCTCCACTTCCCCCTGGGCGAGCCCGTGGTGCGCTTTCCCGGAACTCACATTCTGCCGCCGAGCTGCTGAGCCTCTTGTACGTCCTTCGCCTCACTTCCTCCCCTTCCTGCTTCCACCATGAACAAGTCGCAGCCCATGTGAGGCTCCTTGGGGCGCCAGCCTCAAAAAAATGAAGAGACCGTTTGAAAACGTCCAAGCTGTCTCTCGGGGGTTTTCGGGAGCCTCTTGGGGGCTCTACGGGCACTTGTTGAAAGCGTTTGGGAGCCTCATGGAAATTTTTTGAAGGCCTTGCGGGGCCTCTTGGGGATTCTCGGGGCCTTGTGGAGACTCTTAGAGGCCTCGTGTGGGCCTATTGGGGTCCTTTGGGGGCCTCCTGGGGGCTTGTTGGTGGCACGTCGGGACTCTAGGAGGCCTCTTGGGACCTTTGGGGGCCTTCTTCAGGGAGCTCTTGGACCTCGTTGGGACCCCAGCAGCCCATCGAAGGCGGAAAGGCGAGCCTCCTGGCGGTCTCCTGGGGCCCCTTGGAGCCTATTGGGATCATTATGTGCGCTCTTAGGGCCGTCTTGGGATCCATCTTAGGCAGGCTGCCCGGGGCCGTCGTGGGGCCATCCTGGCAGCATCGACGGTTCCTGGACGACCTCACGGTGACATGTACATGTACCTATGCATACACATACACATACGCGAACTCGTATACACAGCCATACGCATATGCATATGAATGCATATGTATATACCGATGCACACACATTTGAATATACAGTTGAAGATGAACGCATACAAATACACACACGTATGAAAATGCATGTACATGCACATCAACATCTGCACATAGACATGTGCATAACAGTTCCAAATATGTGTATATGTACCCATATCAGTATACACAACCATAAGCAAACTCACATATATATATATATGTGTATATATGCCAATACATGTATGAACATACACATTCACATACGTGTACGTATGCGCATCTAGATGTGGAATCATAACCGTGTGCATGGGCTTACCTAACATGTATACATTTATGTACGCGCATGGCTACGCGCGGCTATATACATGAGCGCTCCTGGTGATATAAACAGTTAGAGAGGGGGGCAAGATACAGAGAGAGAGAGAGAGAGCAAACAAACAACACACAGGAAAGACAGACACATATATGTATGTACTTAGAAAGAAAGGCTTTTGAGGAAGAGAGAGAGAGAGAGAGAGAGAGAGAGCGACTTGCCCTAGGCGGTGGGGGACAGGGAAATCAAAGGGAGGGGGGAGGGAAGGTAACGGAGGGGGAGGAGGAACATGGGAGCACACGCCTCAACGAACACAACAACAAGATAAAGATAAGGAAGAGCATCACCAGCCGGATAAACTTGGGTGAAGGTGGAAGACGATATTCACAAGAACCACGGTGCTAAAGGAGAGAGGGAGAGAGAAGGGGGAGAAGAATCAGACAGGGAAGAGGAAAGGTCCAAGAGAAGGATTAAAAGGAGGAAGCATTCCGAAGAACGAGTAGAAACAAAGGGAGGATATTGACAAGTTGGCAGAACATGGGAGAGATGGAAGAGGGACAATGGGGGGAAAGGAGGGAAGGAGGGGATAATGAAGTATGTGGAGCAGGGTGAGGCACGAGGAAGGGATGAGGGGGACAGAGAAAGAGAGAGAGAGAGAGAGAGAGAGCGAGAGAGAGAGCGAGAGCGAGAGAGCGAGAGCAGGCAAGAGGACGAGGAGGGACGAGGGGGAGGAGGGACACGGCCTGCTCGGAGCGCCCCCGGGATCATCTCTCTCCCCCCCCCCGCGCCAGGAACGTCGCGAACGAGGTCAGCGGCAGCACCTGCCAGCGCGGCAGGCGAGGGGAGGGAGGACCGCCCTGCCACCAGAGAAGATCTTCAGCCTCCGCTGGGGATGTGCCCCACTCCCCCCCCGATGCCCGAGATCTCGAGGGCCTCGGCCTCGAGGGGCGGGGAGGGGAGGCAGGGAGGGGGGTGGGGATGGAGGCGAGGGGGGAAAGGGGGAGGTGAGGGATCGGAGGAGCGGCGGTGGGCCAGCGCGGGGATGGCCTCGCGTGCGGCGGGAT